TCTGATTCCAACTCTACGATAGCAGAGTGACTGCATAACGGGTGTGCAGTCCACATAATGGACCGCAAAAATGACTCTCCAAAATCTAGTCTATTCTGGTCAGGTCTGTGGTCCGCGGACCGGTTCTGCGGTCGCATAATGTGCAGCAAAACCTCCTCCTAGAAAACTTAGCGCTGGCTCTGCGATGGGATCTGCAGTCACAAAAGTGATTATGCGACCGCATAATGGGTCGCATAGTGGCCCAAAATTGGGTCAACTCTCTACTTCACTTTGCGGCCGATATGCGACCCGCAAACTGGTTTTGCGATCGCATAGTGGACCACGAAATCTCAAGTTCTAGGTAAACAATTTTGGGGTCTTACACCTTGTGAGGATATTCGTATTGCAGTATAGGTAGAGGAAGACAGACTTGCATATGGTGTTCATTGACCTAGAGAAATCCTGTGATAAAGTACCGAAAAAGGTCTTATGGAGATGTGTGGAGGCTAGGGGTGTCCCGTAGCATACATTAGGGTGATTAAGGACATGTACGGGGGAGCGAGGTGAGGGTTGCGGGAGGAGACCTAGATCATTTTCTAGTGGAGATGAGGTTACATCAGGGATCGGCTCTTAGCCCATTTTTGTTTGCCCTAGCATTGGATGTGCTGACGCGACACATACAAGGGGAGGTGCCATGGTGTACGCTATTTGTTGATGACATAGTTCCGATTGACGAGACGTGAGGCGGAGTTAACGTTAGGTTGGAAGTTTGGAGATAATTGATGGGTCTAAAGGTTCTATGTTGAGTAGGTAGAAAATAGAGTAAGTGCAAATTCAGTGATGGCATGCATGAAATGAGGCTCGCTTCAGGGGTTTTATGTGATAATAATGTGTCACCTAGACTTAAGGGCATGTTCTACAGAGTGGTGGTTAGATTTACTGTGTTATATGGGGCTGAGTGTTGACCCGTCAAGAAGTTCCATGTCCAGAAGATAAAAGTAGAGAAATGGAGAATGTTGAGATGGATGTGTGGACATACCAAGAAAGAATAGATTAAGAATGAAGTTATTAGGGACAAGGTGAGTCCAGCTTCTGTGGAGGACAAGTTGCGGGAATCGAGGTTGAGATGGTACAAGCATGTGAAAAGGAGAGATATAGATGCTCCGGTCAGGAGGTGAGAGAGGTTGACTATGGTGGGTCCGAGGAAGGGTAGGGGTAGGCCAAAGAAGTATTTGGGAGAGGTAATTAGGCAGGACATGTCATTGCTTTAGCTTACCGAGGATATGACATACGATAGGAAGGTGTGGAGGTCAAGGATTAGGGTTGAATGTTGATAGGTAACAGTGTGTTTCTTCTAGGCTTACAAGTAGTACTAAGAATATTTTTTGCATTTTCTTATTCATGGTTCTTTATTATTACATGATGTGTCATTCGCGTCCGTTAGTATATTACATTATTGTTATTATTATTTGTTGCTTGGTTATTTTATCTTCACTATTCCTTGAGCCGAGGGTCTATCGGAAACAGCATCTCTATCTTTATAAGATAGGGGTATGGTCTACATACATACAAACCTCCTTAGACCCTACTTATGGGATTATACTAGATTTGTTGTTGTTGTAAAAGAATTATTCTTTGACTAAAATTTTTGCATATACCTTTTAAATATTTTAAATTATTAATTTTTGTGACTTGACGTATTTTTAAGTAGTTTTTAAATTTGTAAATTTTAATTTTAAAAAAGTAAAAATATTTATGTACACGATCAAAATTAAGAAGTTTGAACCTCAAAAAATAAAAAGTATCACATAAATTAAAATAGAATAAGTATTAAATACTTAAGACAATAAGTTTAAAAAATATTGTTAAGATAGAACTAGAATAAGAAACCGTACGATTATGCTTTCAGGTAAAATATTCCGCGCTGCATCTGTGACTTTGGGAAAATGGTGAAGTTGTAGTTTCTCATCAGATTCAAGCATGGAGTCAGCTGGGTGTAGTTGAAAACTGGAAGTAACACCTCAAACAACAATGACAGCAACCGTAAATCTATCTCTATCTCCTCTTCTCTCCACTCCCCAACAACCTCAATCAAATCGAAGTACAACAACCGACCTAATCAAATCATGCAAAAACCTTAACGAAATCAAACAGCTGCATGCCCGTTTCACTAAACAAGGGTTCAATCAAGATCCTGGTTTTCTTGGTAAACTCATTGCTAAATGCTCCGAAATAGGCTCATACGATAGCTTAAAATATGCACAAACAGCTTTTGACTATTTCTGTTATAGTGAAGAAGGTTTAAATAATACTTACAAGTTTAATTCTTTAATAAAAGGGTATTCTTTAGCTGGTTTGTTTTCTGATGCTGTGTTGATTTATGCAAGAATGGTTCTTGAAAATGTGGAGCCTGATGGTTACACTTTTCCTTTGGTTTTGAGTGCTTGTGCCAAGGATGGGAGGTTTTTTGAGGGAAGTGGAATTCAGGGTTTGGCTTTAAAATGGGGCTTTGGTGATGATGTGTTTGTGTTGAATTCTCTGATACATTTGTATAGTGAATGTGGGGAGGTTGATAAAGCGAGGAAGGTGTTCGATAAAATGCCTGACAGAAATTTGGTGTCTTGGACTTGTTTGATTTGCGGGTACTCGAGGAGGGAGAAGGCTGAAGAGGCGGTTCGTTTGTTTTTTGAGATGGTAGAGGAGGAGGGTATTATGCCGAATTCTGTGACGATGGTTTGTGTGATTTCGGCTTGTGGGGAGTTGGGGGGTTTGGGATTGGCGGAAAGAGTGTGTGGTTATATTGGAAAGGCTGGATTAAAGGTCAATACTGTTATGGTAAATGCTCTTGTAGATATGTATATGAAATGTGGATCCGTGGTTAAGGCGAAAAGGCTTTTTGAGGAATGTGTTGATCGTAATTTGGTACTTTATAACACGATTTTATCAAACTATGTACGCCATGGGATGGTGACAGAAGCACTTGATGTCTTGGGTGAAATGCTTTCTTGTGGAGGACCTCGTCCGGATAGAGTAACTTTGTTGTCTGCTATATCAGCCTCGACAGAGATGGCTGATGTTTTCTTAGGAAAGCAGTGTCACGCTTATATTTTGAGGAACGGGTTAGAGAATTGGGATTCCATTGGTAATGCCATCATCGATATGTACATGAAGTGTGGGTGTCAAGAATGGGCTTGCAGAGTTTTTGATCGGATGTCAAACAAGACAGTGGTATCATGGAATTCACTAATGGCAGGCTTTCTGAGAAATGGTGATGTGGAGGCAGCTTGCAGAACCTTTGATGAGATGCCGGAGAGTGATATTGTGTCATGGAACACCATCATTGGTGGTTTGGTACAACAGAGTATGTTTGAAGATGCAATTCATTTATTTCGTGTTATGCAGAATGAGGGGATTAAAGCAGATAGGGTGACAATGGTCAGTGTTGCATCTGCGTGTGGATACTTAGGTGCTAATGATATTGCTAAGTGGATATATAATTACATTGAGAAATACGAAATTCATCTAAATATGCAGCTAAGTACTGCGCTTATTGACATGTTTGCTAGGTGTGGCGATCCTGCAAATGCAATCAAAGTGTTCAATAAAATGAAGGAGAGGGATGTCTCTGCCTGGACTGCAGCGATAGGGGCTATGGCTATGGAAGGAAATGGTAAGCGGGCAGTCAAACTATTCTATGAGATGCTCCGGGAAGGGGTAGAACCTGACCAAGTTGTGTTTGTGGCTGTACTAACAGCATGTAGCCATGGGGGTTTAGTAGGAGAGGGAATGAAAATCTTCAGGACTATGAAAGAGATCCGTGGAATCTCACCACAGATAGTGCATTATGGGTTCATTGTTGATATGCTTGGTCGGGCTGGTTTATTGAAAGAAGCTATTGATATTATAAAAAATATGCCAATGAAGCCAAATGATGCAGTTTGGGGGGCTTTTCTAGCTGCTTGTAAAATGCATAAAAACGACGAGATGGCAACTTATGCAGCTGATATGATCTCTGAATCATCCCCAGATAAAGCTGGAATCCATGTGCTTCTGTCAAATATTTATGCTTCGGGAGGGAAGTGGACCGATGTTGCCAAGGTAAGGATGTCTATGAAGGAAAGAGGGATAAAGAAGAACCCCGGTTCAAGCTCAATCGAGGTGAATGGAACTGTTCACGAGTTTACTTCAGGTGATGAATCTCACCCGGAGCAGACTAGTATTTGTCTAATGCTAGAAGAAATGAAGTGCAGGGTTAGAGAGGCAGGTCATGTCCCTGATCTAACAAATGTTATGATGGATGTTGATGAGCAAGAGAAAGAATTCTTGCTTTATCGACATAGTGAGAAAATAGCCATGGCATTTGGACTCATCTCGACATCTCAGGGACATCCCATTCGGATTGTGAAAAACCTTCGAATGTGCTCTGATTGCCACTCATTTGCAAAACTGGTGTCAAGAGTATATGAACGGCATATTATTGTCAGAGATAACAACCGTTTCCATTTTTTCCAGAGAGGGTTGTGCTCTTGTGGTGATTATTGGTAGCTGCATTGTTGTATATGATTGTATGATAGGAGTACATAGTATTCGTACTTTCTCAAATTTAATTGTGTAACTTCACCAAATGCTTTGATTATAAATTCCATTTATTTGGCCTAATAAATAATTACAAAGCAAATTTAACTTTGATCCGTTTTGCAAACCTGCGTCCAATAACCAAGAGGTTCTCTCCCAAAAAAAAATGGAAATTCTTTGTACTTCTCCAAGAATGTAGATAAGTTATTCCACATATATACATGCCGTGTTCCATAACAGGGTGAACTCGCACCATCTCTCAAAAAGCCAGAGAGAGAGAGAGAGAGAGAAAACGATACTTTGTTATAACAGCTTAAGACATCTCTGATCTCTTTATCTGGTATTTCTCAAGTCCATTATCGCGGTAGGTGAAGAAAAATTTGCAAATTTGATGCATATTTTCATCTCTCAAAAACATTATCATGACAGCTACTGTGGATAAAAAGTACTACATCAATATGAAAACATGAGATAAACTTAAAAGCAGCCATCTGACAAACACTTTTTAAAATATAAAATTTGTCTTGGGCTGGGTGATGGGGATAACGATTTTGTTTTTCTAACTAGAAATTCAGGATTATAGACAAAGTCCATCAGATGGATTGGTATTGCAGAAAGAATCTATTTGGATGGATTCTGCAACTTTGGGAAAATTGGATCAATATAAACATGATACATGGGATCAGCAAGCCAGAGTTTGGCAAGGTAATGAGGAGACGAAGTACGCCTGTGAACTTCTTCCATAAGCCAGATGCTTGATTCGGCTTTGGTCGGATGGATGAGCATCTCCAATGGATCAACTTCGTCATCGGCCCCAATCCTCATTTGATCCCGTTGCTTTATGCAGAGGTTGGTCAGGTAATGCAGTGGTTGCCCATATAACTTCTTAATTGATGCAGCCAACCCTGCCCAAGAGGTGCAAGGAATAGAGGAGTGAGTCTGTGTGGGGATAGGAACCAGCTGCATGTACTCTTGATACATTCTCGCTCTTCTGAGAAATGCATCTGCATTGCACACCACAGCCTGTTAGAGTCTAACAGTTAGACCAGTTATATAGATGTAACTCATCGAATAATGGTCAGGGACCTATATGATAGTTAAACCATGCACCTTTCAATTGACTGGAAACTAGTTGAATAAAAAATCTGAAATGGATTTCCTGACAAAGGAAAAGATCTCATTGCAGTATCAGTACCATCAATAAACAGATTCTCAACCTGCATATTCACTTTGTAAAGAAACTATTCTATGATCCTCTGTTTTATGGAAGATGTCTCAAAAAACCTCCAAATCTCCAATGTCACAGAATCAATGCGAACTTAACAAAGAACATTTTTTTGATCAGTCGGACTTAACAAGAATATAACAAAATAGAAGCAGACGATCCATATAAATGGTCTTTTTGGGTTATTAATGCTAAGTATGGTGCTTGACGAGATCTTTTCAGTCTAGTTAGAGAGCTGCAGGTGAGCATCAGTATAAGTGTGAGATATGGAGAAGTTCTAGACTTAGAGAACCCCTAGTTTCTCTAAAAAGACAAATTTACTTAGTATTGAAATGAAATGAGCTCAAAAAGAGAGACAAAAGAAAAAGAAAAAGAGCAGAACAGAAATTCATATTATTGACCCCAACAATATGGAATTAAGGTGTAGTTGATTGATTGACTAACAAGTAACAGAAACGAGATCCATGTATGAGCTTTTCCAGGAACATCTGGCTCTTTTGATAGTGCTACGCTCTTCTTCACTTTCGGGCACCCATTGGAGGGCAATCTTTCAGGGGCTTCTTAGGGACCGATTTATTCTGCATGCATTGACTAATGCAGGAAACCTTCCACTGGTGGGAAAAGCAAAGGGCAGAACAAATCTTTCTTTTATATGCTAATTCTTGTCTGACTTTCTCTTCCTATGCTCTATTTTTTATCAGTTTCTCTTCCTATCCTCTCATTCCTGGTCAATGTAAAATTCTTCCTGATAAAGAGTGAATCAGCCTGGTAACCTATGGCTAGAACGACCAGTAGATCAAAATTTCAAATTCTGGCTCCCAGACAAAAGGATAGGCTGAACCATCTCATCAGGTCTAGATCACATTTTTCTCCACTCAACCATCAAAACAAGGAACTGAAGGAAAAAAGATATAAACAAAACTCCCTTGCACGAGATAGCCAGATATTTCTTTTAATAGGTAAGTAGATAGCCAGATGAATTGATTTCATCAAGATAAATACAAGGCAGCACTCACTTAATGAAGTATAATTGTTAATACTCCTTCAGCCCAATAGCATTAATGTTTAGTGATCCATTTATTGGACGAGAAAAAGCAGAAAAGGGAAGAAAAAAAAATCTTGAGTGACTTCATAGCATTTTCTGTTTCTGTTTTAAAAGAAGAATTTTGTTCAAAGTTTCTTTCACATGTTTCCATTTTCAAAATTTACCAAAACTAGTTTAAAAGAGCAGCAAAGCTTTCCATGTCATGCATCCCCATAATAATGTTAATGCTCTACAATTTTAAGCCCACACAAATCCAAAATCAGAAAAACAGAAAAGTCAAAGCAAGCAGGAAACGGAAAGAATGGTAGAAAAGAATCAATACCCGATTCCTGATCTGCCATTAAAAGAAGAATGAGAAGAGGGAAAAAAAGCCGGAGGATCCAGAGAAGCTCAGGTCTTCTTCTGAATTTGTTCTTTGCATACACCGAACAGCGGGCTTCTCGTTTAGTAGCAGTGGTGTTCTGGAAAAATAGGTTGGAGAAATATAGGGGGAGAGCGACCAAGTGGTGAGTAACTGAGTATAATGTGACAGGAGAGACAAAAACTAGATCACATTTTCTGCATGTCCTATTTTGGAAGATTCCGGGGGAAATAATTACTGTTGCGGAAGCCAAATGTATATAGTGTGAATAAGTCACAACTACTATACCAAAAATTATGACAGCCACCAAATAATAAATAAGACAATAAAACAACAATAAAGGAAACACTAGAATTTACGAGGTTCGGCTAATTTTGCCTACTCCTCGGACACAACCAATATTTTATTCCACTCCAAAAATACAAGTGAAATAATACTAAAGAGAGAAGATACAAATGCCTTAAACAGATGAGAAGGCAAATGAGAGGTGTGTTTCAATCCTAAACATTAGGCATTCTTTTATAGGGGAAAAATCCCCTCCAAACTTAACTCCCAACCAATGTGGGACTTTGGCATTTTGCCAAACTTCAACAATTACAAGGTAATTCATTAACACTTTCCATACCACAAGGAGAATGACCTTTCGCCTCTCGGCCTTTGGAAAATGCTTTTTTTTAAAGGAAAGCATCGTTTTCAGTAGAAATATGCATTTTTGCTTATTTGCTTTAGTTCCCAAGGGTATGCATGATGAACTTTAGATGACTTATTAGATCGAAAATGCTTGCTTCCCTAAATATAGCTAAAATCCATATCTCAGAATAATATTATGGCTAATCTGTTTATATTTTCAAGTAGCAGCAGAAATTACGTCTTTGTTGGCAGTTACATTTCTCATTGCTTTACTGGAACATAGAGTGTGACTGAACTTGATTAAAAAAAAAACAGAGTGTGATTGAACTTGATTAAAAAAACATAGAGTGTGATTGAAACTCAGATCCGAAATGGTACAGTACCCTCAAGAAACCTGAATCAGTCTTGGTTCCAAGCTGAAGAGTAACAAAAGAGACAAAATAAATCAAGTTCGCTGAAATGATTTATCTCTAAAGGATTATCTAGCGATTTGGTTATTGGCATTTTATGCTTGACATTGTTCTTGCCTAAAGGTTTTAACTTCACATGTTTTTGAAAAAAAAGTCAGTATGACCTTTGGCTGGCAAATACCAAGGTTTCATAAATCATGCTTTTCAACATATTACTTTTGAGCCACTTAGAATTTACAAAACAGATAGTGGACAGTTACAAATACTATTGGATGATTTATCTAAATGTGCATAAAGCTTCATGTCAACAGTGTCATGTGAAGATTCTACATTACGGAAAGACAATTCAGAATACCATGACTCAGTTGAATTTTACAGCTCCCTTCTATATATTTCGCTTCGTTTCTTTACTTATATTTAAACTGGCCGGTAGATGTAAGCAATGCATTACAGTATGTGCATAGATTCGCAAGCTTGACGCGAGTAAATTTTGCTCCCCCGCTAACTCAAATTCCTAGTTTTGTCCTTGACTGTCCTAGTCCTCATATTGGAACAGGAGTTGCTATATTTAAACAAGGAGATGAACTTGACTCTCCTCAAATCAAACTAACATGAAGCACTGTGCCAAAGGGCTAACATATCCTAAAAACTTAGCCAAAAACAGAATAATTTCAACCTACAAAACTTCCCAGCTTAATCAAGAGAAGAAAATAAAATTTTCCGTGTAACAGCGACTAAAATCAATCACTGCTGAGGAATACCATATAACCGCTTGAATAGATGGAAGAACAAAAACTAATATCTATCAAAAAGAAAAAAAGATGAAAAGAGAACTTCTAAATGGAAGTACACCTGACCATGTATGAATGATGACAAATACCTTCAGAAACAAGTTCTTCAACATCTTGACCAATATTGAGATTGTCGCTCATATGCTCGCTTTCACACTTAAACATGTCTAAATGATCACAAATAGTTTTAGTACCTTCAGAAACAAGTTCTTCAACAACTTGGTTGACAGCAATGTTGTTGCTCATCTGCTCGCTTTCTGCTTTATGGTCATCCCCATCAGACGAAGATGATTCATCAGATGAGACATCTACTTGTTCACCAAATGGCATAGCCATCTTCATGGCTGAAAATGTGTACATTTAGAGAAAACAAAAACATTTAACAATCCTGCAAATGGAAACTCTCAGCTGTACTGAATCAAACTAGTTGACAATACAAAGGTCACAAGATAAACTTAGTTGGTAATAGGGGGGAGTGCGAAGAATTCAGAACTGGTTCCACTTGATTCCATTAGCAAAAACTTATCAATCAGTGAATGAGAAATTGGTCGGTAATTCATACAGCTTTGAATGACAACTATCTTTGAATTTCACAGCCGAAAGCTGCAAGTTTCAATAGCCAACAGTTAAGTTCACGCGAAATAGCAGATTCAACAAAGTTCAAGCACCACCAAGACTTCCCTTTTATATGCATATAACCTTTAATCTATTGTATTCACGAAGAAAAAGAAAAAACATTAATGCATTGCAAAATACAAGATAAAACTAAGAGTACTATGTACAACACAACAATAACTATACCTCAATACCAAACAAGTTAAGGTCGGTTATATGAATCCTAACTGGCCATATTTTTCCCCTTAATTTCATCTCAGGCAAGAGTACTAAGTATTAAAAACCCACTCTTTTAGTGTATGTCAAGACAAATGAAGGACAACCCATACATTGATTAGAGATAGATAATTCATGAATTACTTCCATCCCAATTAGTAAAACGGCAAAGGGCTAAATATACCCCTCTACTTTCAAATATTGTTACCTATACCCTTCGTTATACTATTGGGCTATCCATACCCCTACCGTCATACTTTAGAACAAAAATACCCCTATTATCATACTTTGAAACAAAAATACCCCTATTTTGGATAGAGTGCCACGTGGCAACACCAGATTAAAACGACCCATTTCTTTTTTTACCCGATCCGTTTTTTAAAAAATCCACAACCCGGCCCCTATTTTCATTTTTTTCCAGTTTTTTTATTTATTTAAAATTTCAGTTTTTTAGAAAACGAAAATATTTTGTTAAAAACAAAAAAAAAAATCTGTTTTTACAAATTTGTTTTTACAGTTTTTACAAAACAAAATTCTTTTAAAAAAATGAAAAAAAAAATTCAAAAACGAAAATATTTTGTTGAAAATAATGTTTTCAGTTTTTGAAAAAACGAAAATATTTTGTTAAAAAACAAAAAAAAAAATATATTCTTACAAAAAGAAATCAGTTTATACAAATTTGTTTTGAAAAATGTTTGTTTTTCATTTTTTTCATTTTTTTTAAAGATTTTTCTTTTTGTAAAAACTGAAAAAACAAATTTGTACAAACTAAATTTTTTTTGTAAAAACAGAAAAAAAAAATATTTTCGCTTTTAACAAAAAAAATTTGTTTTTTAAAAACTGAAAACATTATTTTCAACAAAATATTTCGTTTTTGAAAAATATTTTTTTTTTCATTTTTTCAGTTTTTTAAAAGAATTTTGTTTTGTAAAAACTGGAAAAACAAATTTGTAAAAACAGAAAAAAAAAAATTGTTTTTAACAAAATATTTTCGGTTTTTAAAAACTGAAATTTTAAAAAAAAAAACTCGAAAAAAATGAAAATAGGGGTCGGGTTGTGGGTTTTTTTTAAAAACGGATCGGGTAAAAAAAAGAAATGGATCGTTTTAATATGGTGTTGGCACGTGGCACTCCAACCAAAATAGGGGTATTTTTGTTTCAAAGTATGACAATAGGGGTATTTTTCTTCAAAGTATGACGGCAGGGGTATGGATAGCCCAATAGTATAACGAAGGGTATACGTAAACAATATTTGAAAGTAGAGGGGTATATTTAGCCCTTTGCCGTTAGTAAAAACTACCAATACCATGTAAAGCTTTCATTTTAATTTTTGGAATTTTTCGTTTTTCTCTTAGAATTTTTTTCTTTGTCAACTTTCCTTTATTTTTCTTCTTAAAAGTAATGTCGAGAGAATTACAAGGGGAATACTCAAAGGGAACTGAATAAAAAACAATGATCACAAAATTGGAGCTTTTTAGCATGGGAAAGAAATGGAGAAATCGAAAATTTTAATTGTGTCTTCATGCAACTTGAGCAGACACATAGCAACTCGCAAAAGAACTGGTATTATACATAAGAAAAAGGGAAAGAGGATTTTGTGGGGGAATAAGAGAACCTACAACTCAATTTCGCCGGAATAATGATCGGCAATGGATTCGCCGGAGCGGAGCAAGGTGGCAGACCAGGGCGATTTGGTCAGATTCTACACTTGGTTTTTTACTATAGTGTGGTCAAAGATATCATATAATTGGAGTACAAATGGACTAATTTGGATACATGCCTATTTGAAGCAAAAAAGTATTGGGGCATTTGCAAATTTATACCCGCTTTTTGTGTAACGTTTTAACTTGTGATCGTTTTGCAAAAAAATTGCAAGTTTACCCGCTTTTTCGCATAACTTGAGCATACGGGACTGAAGTAGCAAAGGCAATCACGCAAAACTTTAGCATTCTAGTAGACGGGCCTGAAGTTTTTGTTCTCTATTTGCATTGCTGAAGTTTTTGTTTTTGTAACCGGCGAAGTTTTTGTTTTGTAACTGGCGAACTTCAGATCTGAAGTTTTTGTTTTTATAACTGGCGAAGTTTTTGTTTTGTAACTGGCGAACTTGAAGTTTTTATTTTTGTAACTGGCTAACTTCAGCTCTAAAGCTGAAGATTTTGTTTTATAACTGGCGAACTTCAGTTCTTACTTCAAGAGGCCAACTGTTTAGAACTTCAGCTATCCTGGTTTTGAACTACAGCGTAACAATCAAAAGGACACCATCCCCGAACTTTCCTTTTCTGTTCACTTAATTGTTGAAGAAATTGATTATATGTCACAACAAATTCACCTTTATGATCCTAACGAGTGCATAATAGCCGAGCTATCAAAACTTAATTTATCACAATCTAATTTCAAAAATGTCGAAGATCCCACAGTCCTATTCAATTGTTCTGTTACTTTTGTACCGTATGATTACAGTCAGGGGCGGATTTAGGGGGCGCAAGGGGGTTCACCCGAACCCCCTTCGCCGAAAAAATACACTGTATATATAAGGCAAAATCTGTTTTTTACCTCTATATATTAAGTTTTGAACCCTCTCTAACACAATCCAAAAGTGTAGTTTAGTGGTCAAGGGGGTTCAAAATCTACATAAGGTCATGAGTTCAATTTCCACTAAATATAATTTTTTTTTGAACCCCCTTCGTGGAGATCCTACCTCCGCCACTGATTACAGTAACGTAGTTCCTTGTCTTGGTTCTTTTGGATACCAAATTCATGTTGTTTTTCCGACCATTCTCCTCGACCTATTCTTGACTGGGCCTTGTACAAAAATTCATCAGTACCCATATTCACAGTCAACATTTCTTGAGAACAGGCTGCAGCTGAATTGGCTTGTACCACTCTGGGGAAACTGTGAGTCCAATGGACGAAGAAGAAGAAGAAGAAAACGAAGGAGGAGGGGAGGAGGAGAAAGAGGGCTGAAGTTATTTAAAAAGTGGGTACAAGTTAAAAGTTTAAAAAATGGGTATAAGTTAAATGAGGGTGACCAAATAAGGCGCCCCGTGCAATTTTTACAAAAGTATTGCGAGATTTGTTGTAATCTAATGTGTAACCATCTCATCAATAACGCACCCCTTCGTATATAAACTTTTTTTTATGAGCCAAGCACGTGAAAATTCTTTTGTAAAAGTTCTTTTGATACAGAGTGGCGGTTAGACCCGAACCCAAGAGCCAAGATTTCTACCTGCTCTAATATCATGTTGAAGTGTGTAATCATCTCATCTAATAGTTTAAACACTTTTATTTACTTAATTATATCTCCAATTGGCCGCAAAATTATTTTTGCTAAACTTTTACAAATAGGTCTAAACTTAAACGGTTAGATCCTAGCACTGACTAGTTATTTTTTATTTTTCTAATTGAAAAATAACCATTGTTATGATATATATTAACCGGGATATTCATAAATTTTAGTACTCCTATGATCTTTAACTGTTAAAACTCCAAGAACAGTGGCTATTTGTGAAATTTTTCCCGCTAAAATCTTGACATTGGCCCAAGCCCATAGCTCTTCTGACGGCCCAGTATGAACAACAAATACCCAAATCCAAACCCGTTTTCCGCCTGAAATTGTCAGTGAAGCCGCCAACTTCTTCTCTCTTTCTGCAGCGAACTCCTCAGTTGTAAATCAAATTGTATGTTTCTCACATACTTTCACTTGTTTCTGTCTATTTATTTTTTCTCCGATTTTAATCAAATGGTAGATTACGAATATTAGTGAAAATGGACTGTGTTTGTGCCTATATCTTTAGTGGAAGCATTCTGTACTGAAATCAGTGAACTGGGTATGCTGAAAGTTAGAGTCTTGATATTACTATTATTGTTCTCTGTTTTGGTGATTAAAAGCTAAACTTGAACTTGTTTTGCTGGGTTGCTCTATTGAATTATACTTGGTAGGGCATAAAATTGAATTAGCTATTTGGGCGCACTTAGGGTTGTTTGGTTGACTGGTTAGTTCTAAATGCAGGGATTGTTATGCCGCGAATAATAATGATGTAGGAATTGTTTAGACGATAATTTTACTAATTATTATACGTGTACAAATTTTAATTAAAATAAAAATCTTCCAACTAAATATTACTACTATTATGGTTTTTATTTTCATTATAGGGGAACTTTTGCAGGAGTATCTATTAAGTAAAGCTAAAACAAGATGTCTTAAGGGTATTGTTAATTCATGACATCGTGTATTGTTATTTCACATTGGGTCAATCCCAGAAAAATAAGTAGTATATAGATTTCTGCTGTATAACTTTTTGTGGAACAAAATTAGTAACCAACGGCTACAAAAAGGCTCAGAGTTTTATGTGATACTATTAGGTTTCTTTATGTGCAAAGCCAAATGAGCTTGCATTGGGTATCTTAAAGATGCTTCAGTGCTGATACTTCCTTTATCATTGCCAGGTAAGTTGAAATGATATCAAACTTGAAGCATTTCCCCTACTTCTGGTGTTTGAGAGCTCGAAGGCGTCTGAATGTGTGGAGAAGTTCTGTTTACTATGTTTCTGATGATATGTTGTGCAATAGATATTGTACTGTGACAGAGACAGTTAATACTGATCAGCAGCCAAAGATGACCGAGTCACCAGATCTTCCAGTTTGGGTTAAAATTGTAAAGAAAGAGGAAACAGTGGTTGACTTTGGAGATGATGATTTCTTACTTCCCTCGTTCTCAGAATGGGTAAAAAATGAGAAGCTTCGTGCAAGTGAAGTTGATGTGAGAGGTTTGGCAAGCGATATTGCAGACAGCGATGTTGATAAGATCAGCAAATTATTGAGGTTTCATTTCAAATCACCCGATGCTGTTGTAGATGCGTTGAATAACTGCACATTTGATGTTTCAGAGTGTTTAGTTGAGCAAATTTTGAAGAGGTTCAGTTGTGAGTGGATACCTTCTTACGGGTTCTTTAAATGGGCAAAAGTGCAAAAGGGTGTCATACTTTCCTCTGATTTGTATAATCTAATGGTTGACAACTTGGGAAAATCAAAGAAGTTTGATCTTACGAGGGAATTGATGGACGAAATGAGTCACTTGCAAGGGTATGTTTCATTGAATACTATGATTAAAATCATGAGAAGGCTTGCCAAGGCTGGTAAATATGAGGATGCAATAGAGGCATTTACAAGAATGCAGAAATTTGGCGTTCATAAGGATACAAATGGTATGAATGCATTAATCGATGCATTGGTGAAGGGAGGAAGTGTGGAGCATGCTCATAAAGTTTACCTAGATTTGAAGGATCATATAGCTCCAACGGTCCAAACATATAATATCTTAGTGCATGGTTGGTGCAAAGCTAGAAACATTGACAAAGCAAATGAAACTGTTAAAGATATGGAGGAGCGTGGTTTTAGTCCTGATATGGTTACATATACTTGCTTCATTGAAGCCTATTGTCGTGAAAAAGTCTTTCGCAAAGTTGATGCTATTTTCAAAGAGATGCAAATGAAGGGGTGCTCACCAACTGTGGTGACGTATACCATAAACATGAAAGCACTAGGGCACGCAAAGGAAGTGGACAAAGCCTTGGATGTATATGAGAAGATGAAACAAAATGGTTGTGTTCCTGATAATTCATTTTACAGCAGCTTGATCCACTTGTTAGGAGCAACTGGGAGACTGAAGGATTGTTATGATATATTTGAAGATATGCCAAAGCAAGGAGTTTCACCTGATACGTTCACATATAACACCATGATTACAATTGCTGTAAAGAACTCTAACGAGGAGGATGCTTTAAAATTTCTCCAGAAAATGGAGGAGAGTCAATGCAAGCCTGACATTTGTACTTACGCGCCATTATTTAAAATGTGCTGCAGAATGAGAAGAATGAAGGTGCTATCCTTTCTATTGAATCACATGTTCAAAAATGACGTGAGCATGGATCTTGGAACATATGCTCTTCTGGTTCGCGGTCTTTGTAGGAATAGGAATCCTGAGCGCGCTTGTGCTGTTTTTGAGCTAGCAGTGCTTCGAGGGTTCCTCCCTACGGATACCATGTATGATAATCTCGTCAAAGAACTTGAGGAAAGGGGTTTGAAGGAAGAAAAGAAACGTATCGAAGAACTGATGTTACAAGCTAAGCAGCAAGAATCAGGCACTTCATCCGAGAGACATTTAAAGATTGAAGAATGAATCTTTTCTTGTTTATAAGGGAAATGTTGTACACTGTTTTTTCGTGATATTAGTTGCAACTATTATGGAGCTGGTTCTATCATTCAGAGGCATATTTTAAAGCCCCATAACATTACATTCAGTGAAGTGTAAGTCAGATTTGGTCGACAATGCCATGGTTTCTGTAAATTCACCTTACTAATTAGCTGGTCCCAAATTTATGAGAACTTTCCTTTTCCATTGTTGATTAATTACATATCAGGCCTCATAATATTTCCTACTGGATCAAGGATTCTTTTCTTGTTTTAGGACATAAGATTCCTTTGCTTGAAAGAAAATTGGACAAAATGGAAAGACGTATTTTATTGTATTCAAATGAAAAGAAATACAGAGTACTGTAGAGTGTGTTGGAACATATGTTTGAGCATAATGTACAGTTAACACATCCAATTTGCTGGACCTAAAAAGGAGAAGTACAACAATTACTACCAATGCACGGGAAACCAGCCAAACTTCTTGACCAGAACCATTGTTAAACATGGGATAAGTGTTTTTGATTCAGACGCTTCCATACTTGGAAAGTAACACTAAGAGTTAATATGCTGTCTCGCTTCCTGGGAGAACAGTGAATTCAATCTACTATGTTGAGTTAATCTCTTTGTCCTTGGCCTTTGCCATCCTAGTCTTTCCAAAAACTCCTCTATCAACCTGAAAATGAACGATTAAAGGGCATCGGAATATCAGAGTAAGGACACTATTGAAACAGAAAAAGGCTTTTAGTTATACTCACATGCTGCAAATAGCCTTCTGCGAGGAAGCCAGCTCTCGATCTGGAAAGCTCTCCTCCAAGCGATAACTCAACCAAACATACAGATCCAAAACCTTCAATTGAATTTCACAAGAAATAGATAATCAGTATAATCTATTTGAAATTCTACCCAGTGAAAACCTACATAAATTCATCAGCAAATAACAAATAAACACATTTCGCAACCATCTTGAAATGCAGTGGACATCAGTTTTCTTAAGTGTAAGATATGCTTATGCTTCTTTCTATAAAATCAAAGAGCAAGGGAACTTAAATCGATTTGTGTTGGTCAAAAATTTCGTCACCAAGTAACATCAGTTACAGCAGTCTAAACACATACATCAGAAAACAAGTTTGCGCCAAGTTAATATCTATGTTAAAGCAGTAACAGGAGGCAAGTGATTTTCAAATAAACAAGAAAACCGTTACACCCTCAATTTTTTTTCAAGCGTTATGACTTTGTTTGCACGTTTGATAGCATAGAGCAGGAAATGGTGCATATGAAACCAAAAAACCGGGTCAATCTCGCTCTTAACGCAAGTGATAAGGAGCTTGTGTACATGAAATTCTCAAGGAGTCTAGAAACAAAATGAAAACTTAACATACTTCAACAGAATTTACATAATCGGAATTTCATAAAAATTAGTGACTGACAATAACTATGCACAAAAACTGGAAAACTTTCATAGAATGGAAGAAGCCGAGATGGAGTGACGAGAACTTCTACACTACCTTAGCACAATAGGATTGTCTTAACCTCAATGCACAGAACTACTTCAGGTTGGCTACGTGAACCCTCTATATCCGTCCACTTTATTGGAGCCCCAGTTCATACTATTATTGTAACAATTTATCTTTCAAAACAAATTAGGGATTCTCTAAACTAGTTGAGCAAAATAAGTGCAATTATTATAATCACTAAGGCAATGACTACCAAAATGCTTTCATAAGCATAAAGCATTCAGAAATCAGTCTAAATACTTGAACTGCTTAACAAGTGTGGACAAAGTGTGAAGTAGCAAAATACGACATGCTAACCTTGTGAATTGATTCAAGCTCCTTAAGTGCAGTATGAGATTTTGGCACCTTAAGCGTCCCAGGAGTAAATATTTCGCGCAGCCGTACCAGGCCATTTTTAGAATAATTTGTTGCAAACTGATGCATCAAAGCAGAGTGATCATGTATATTCCTCATCCAAAACAATCATCCTTGAAATGCTATAAGGTGAAAAATCATCTTACTTGAGTGAGGCCTTGAGATGAAATTTCATCATCCATGTCAACTGGACTACATACGAGAAACAAAATGCGTCAATGATACTCTTCTGACATCGGATTATTATCTATCAGGAGCATATGCAAATAACATATATCCGTTTAAGAATTTATTGGGGTGTTTATATATACTAATAATTGTTGTGATAATTTCAAAGCTGATACAGTACTCTGGCTGCATTTGCTTGCATGCCTAAAATGTTCTCTGTTACTATTGTCAAGCTACAGAAAGCTATAAACATGTCACAACTTCCACTTATCTTCTTTGTAAGAGCCAAAGATGTTACCTTATACAGAAGAGATATTTATCGTGCAAACTGAGGGGTAGTGTATCAATAAGAGCAGCAACATTCTGTTCCAAGGTACAGTACAATCAATAATTAAAAAGAGCAGAAAGATCAGTAATCCAACAAAATGAATAACTGCAAGGACAGAACACAATCTAGAAAACAGTCCGCTACTAGAAGGAAAGGAAACAGATTGAGCAAGAATACCATACCAACATTTCTTCACAATTAGCAATGAAATAGTGCTCCGATAACTTGGCATTGTCCAGAAAATGCTCCTGCAAAGACAAAGGTAGAATAATTTTGAGCACTCAACTTGCAATCCTGCAGAAAGACAAAATGGTAATAAACCACTCAGTGTTTAACAGTTTCAGTGGCAAAAGCCATTGTACTAGAACACATCCATTGACATTTTATTTTTGCCATCCATAATTTTCTAGTAATGGCATTTGGATAAGACAGAAACACAACCGAGGATAGTTTGTTTGGAAGTTATGGTTAAATGATTACTGTAAAACTAGACTATGAGAATATATGTTGGGGAGAATATATATGTTGGGGAGAATCTGAGTTGGTAACTTACCAGTATCTCATGTAGGCCATGCTTTGGATGTAGACGAGAATACATGTATAAAAGGTCGAAGTTTGGAAAGAGGCCAGCTCGCTGCATTGTAAATTATTGCTCTTCAGTTACCATGATCTAATCTCATGATTAGAACATCCCACTAAACTTGGACCATTTTAAAGAATTTATTTTGTCAGGGAAGCTGCCTCCACTATAAAATGACAAGAAAAGCAAGTATGATATTCCATCATTTAGGGTGGCACTAATTCAGCAGTAAGTAAATTACCTTAAGTACAGGAGATGGAGAATCCAGCGAAGAATGAAGTAGTGGCAGATCATCTGCGTCCAAGCAAGTTACTTCACCAACAGAAAACTTGGATTTGTACCTGCCTGCTCTCCCTACAAGAAAGTATAATCATCGAAATAGTCATTTCAGAGAACATTGATACTTGAGATGCTAAATGCACAAGTGTTGGATGATGCTCAAGAGAGCTCCTGAAAATCATTCTAAGTGTCTATACCGTTTAGATTTGAAACTCACTCTATTCGGATTACATAGTAAAGCAGCTAAAACGGCTATCCAAAAAGCCCAAAGTCCAAGACACCAAGGAAGAATTTTTTGAAAACTCTTTACAAACAGATTTTTCCATCAATAATAGGACATTACAAATTGAGTAAATCAGAAATTAAGAAAACTTTGATTTGGGTAGTATCTTTTCTCATGACAATAACATTGTTCTGTTCCTATATATTTACACATTAAAAGAAAGGAGGTTAAGATGTGTCTCATCACAACATTAAGCTTTTATTTAACTTATCTCCTATAATTCAAATGTTAAAAGGAAGGAGGTTAACCTGCATCCAATCACAACAATAAGCTTTAGACTTTACGTATAAACAGAGTCACTGCATTTTTAATTAAGCAGAAACACTGTATAGAAAATTACTAAACCATTTCCGACCACCAGCAGTGTAAGTTAGAAGTTAAAGGATGATACGGCATCCCTCCAAAGATGAGTACTCAATCAGATCTGATCCACTATACCAAGTTGTGCTCCAGTAAAATAATATACCTGCTATCTGCTTTATCTCTGGCACAGTTAGGTCCCGCATTTCAACACCATCAAATTTCTTTAATGTTGAAAATATAATTCTAGAAATGTTAAGGTTGAGACCCATCCCAATAGCGTCACTCGCTACAAGAACATCAGAGTCGCTGCTTGCATCATTGAACAATGTTGCCTGCAATCTTACAGAATATATTTACTAACCAATTTGCCAGCACGATAATAGACATCAAAACAGATTGCAATTTAGGCAAGTCATCACAGATGGGAATGCCATTCAAGCTGTAACATAAACTAGGTATATCATAGCACACTGAAGGAAAAAAAAAAAAAAACTCTTGTAAGAAGAATAAGTATGGCCAGATGACAGGAAGGCCAGAGTAAAAAGTTGATGATTAAAGAGACTCATCTAGGATGATAATGTTGATAAAGTGAGTTATATCCTCAGCCTGAACAAAAACGGATTACAACTAACCAAGAAACAAATGCAGGGAACACAATTGTAGGAATACTTAGCAGATGACCGGACATGAACCAATCTTAACTCCAATGTAGACAAAAAGAAAGGATCAGAATTAAACCTGTCTAGTTCGAGTCTCTGGTGGCAATGAACCATAAACAACAGAGCAAAGATGCTTTCCCCCCGTTTCAATTAGCTTCTGTTAACATCAAGAGCAATAGTATGAATCAGGATAAACAGAAATCTAAAATCTAAATATCAGTTATATATCCTTTGAGCATAACAAGACAAGAAGTTCAATGGCTATTACAAAATCTAAACTTTGATCAGCAGGATTATCCGACGCAGAACTAGATTTTAACTCATAGCGGAACTTCATCAACTGAATGCTAGTTGATTTCAACTTGCTCCTATCAGGGCATACATTCTACATACCAATTCACTGCATGCCCCACCCAGTTGTGCTGTGATTATGACATGCCAAGCCAGTTACTCCAGTAATTTAAATTCACTTGATCTCAACTTCTCCTAACAGTTTAATCCTGCTATCTACCAATTTGCAAAAAGGCAGCATCAGATTACAACTAATGTCACCTGATTTCAACTACTTCTATCAGTATATACATGCTATACAACAAGTTACCCCCTAAAGGTAATTTCCTCTAATTTGTGTCACTCTTTATTTCTTTCTTTCTGTCCTACTGCACCGGAGTGTGGCTGTGACATTAGTGTGTAAAGTTGTTCCTCACCTTCATCCTGTATATCTCCGTACGCGAGAAGGTGACTACGCAGTCACCAGTCCTTATATTGGAGAAAGATCCTAAAGGAACCTTTAATGGGACAAGAGGTGAGAGCCTCTCATAGTATTGAACCTGGCAGCAAAGGGAAGCAAGAGAGTCAAATTATTTATAGAAGGCACACAAAAGAAATGAACAAAAAGTTACTAGCATAAATAAACTATGAAGCAATTACAAAGCAGCTTGAAGTAGCATAATTTTTTTTAATGACAAACTTGGAGTATCATAAAAATTGATAGGAGTGTTTGTTGGGTCTTGTGGGGAGAAAGCTTGGTGTTTTTAAGGGATGGTAACATATTTGTATATAAATAAATAAACTACACAAAAACTGTGTATTCACCCATATTTACAGTGCGAGTACAGGAAGAATTCCTAGTCCTTTGTCTTTCCTTTGGCACCGAACTAAGTAAGCTACGTCTCATGCAAACAAGCCCAAGCCCATTAAACTTAGGCACTAGACGTACTCATCAAGCTCAATGAGTATCGTATAAGACTATGGAATAAAAGGGGAAATTCATCAGAAATACGTCCTCAGCCTCAACTATGTTGTTCAAGATATGTTACTATGTTAGTCACCTAACTGGTCATATAAATGAGTATCTTCTTTAAAATCGTTAAAGGGTTATACAGCTTTCCTTATCCCTTAGCAGAGTTTGAAGATGGTATCTTCAATTACATTCTAAAAAGAACCAAGGATAAGTGGATAACAGATAATTCTAGACAAAAGAATTGAAATGGCCAGATTCCACATTAGTATTTTTTTCAAATTAAACACCAGAGAAGAAAAGCTCAGTACCTTGATGGTGTCTCCAGTCACTTTGAGGATTTCCTGAACAAGAGGAACAGCTGCTGCATCTCCACACAGATGCAACTCATTAGCAGCTAGTCCCAATAATGCACGTGTAAATGAAAAGCCCCTTGACCTACACCCTATCATCTGAAAAAGAATATGTCATACACAGTAAAATATCCAAGGACAGAAGAAAAGAGTAACAAAGAGAAC